AAAACTAACTTAAAATGGATGATAGACTTAAATGTAAATCTATAAAGCTTTGTTTATTTTATGTTTTTAATGTTGTGCTGGATGGGAGTACATTGTGGCATCCACGAAGTAAAACTCTCAGAAGAAAATCTTCATCATCTTGAATTAGGCAAAAGTTGTTAGATATGACATCAAAAGCAAGACACTAAAAGAAAAAATTATGAATTGGACTTCAACAAAATTAAAAATGTTTGTTCTAGGAAGAACCCTGTTAAGGGCATAAAATGATAAGCCACCGGTTGGGAGAAAATATCTGCAAAACACATATCTGATAAAGGACTTATATCCATAATATGTTAAATGCTCTAAAAGCTCAAAAATAAGAAAAAAATCCAACACATTTTTTTAAATGCTCAAAGGGCTTGAATGTACAGTTCATCAAAGAAGATATACAAATGGCAAATAAACACAAGAAAGGATGCTCAGCATCACTAGCTATTATGAAAAATACAAATTAAAACTGTTAGGAGATTCAATATACCCATACTAGAATGAGTAAAATTTAAAAATTATGAAAATATCAAGTGCTAACAAGGATCCAGAACAAATGAAACTTTTATACATTTCTATCGGGAATGCAAAATAGTAAAGATACTCTGAAAATCGGTTTGTCAGTCTCTTATAAAGTTAAAACCTACTATAAGACTCAGAAAGTCTATTACTGAGTATTTCTCCTAGAGAAATGAAAACCTGCATTCATACAAAAATTTGTGTATTAATATATATAGCAGCTCTATTCATAATAGCCTAAATATGGAAAACAAAACAAATATTCTTCAATGAGTGAATGGGTGTTGCTTAGGGATGCATAAAAGAATACTGTATCCCAAACTGGGATGGCACTGACAGCCCAGAGAATGATTCAAGTCCAGCTTGATGAGTAAAATGAGTTTAATAGGGACTGCTTACTGAGCAGTGGACTATGGAGGGCTACATCTACCCAAAGTCACCAAAGTTGCCAGGGCCCCACCAACCAAGTTCTTTTTTCGTATTGCTGTAAGTCTATAGCAGAAACCTCAGCTTAGAGTAAACACCTAAACAGCAAAAGTAATTGTAGGCTCAAATAACATAACATAGACAAAAGCAGACTCTGGGAAAGTTATATGTTTATGCATACTCCAACCTTGTTCTTATCAGAGATTCTACTGTTCTCAGCAAAGAGTCCAACTGTGGGAAGTATGGCTTGTTCTGCTGTAGTCTGGCACATGGAATAGCTAAATGGTGGCTTGTTGCAATACAAATTACTCTAGCTAGGATTCAGAGGACTAGTCTTACCACACTGGTTAAATAAAATTACTCAGCAATAAAAAAAAAAGAATGAACTATCGATGCTTGTAACAACATGCATTATGTTAAGTGAAGAAAACCCCATCTTGAATGGCTACATATTGTATGATTCCATTGGTATGACATTTTGGAAAAGGCAAAAACATAGGGAGAGAAAACACATTAGTAGTTGCCAGGGTTAGGAGTGAGGGAAAGTTCTGCATTCTATCTGTGATGACAGTTATGATTCTATGCACGTGTAAAAGCTCACAGAACTGTATACCAAGCAAACGTAATTTTACTACATCTAAAATTTAAAGTTAAAAATGAAAGCAAAAAAGGAAAACCCCTTTCATGTCTCTCTCAAACTTCTTATACCCACATTCCTCCCCTCTACACCAGAAGTCTCCTTACAGTGCCTTCCCAAACTTTGCTAGGTTTTCTCCTGACCATCTCATAAATCTAGTTCTTCCTCAGAGAATCTGTCCATTTCTTGGCTAAAGACCATACATATGCTGGTAATTACTGAGTGTGCATCTCCAGCCCAGAACTCTCTCCTCTGCTCCACACCTGAATAACCAATCAAGTGCCTTTCAATTTTACTCTCAAAAAACCAATCCATTTCGCGTTTTCCACTCTCCTTCACCCTCAACCCCATCTAATTAATTGCCAAGGTGTGTTGATTATAATTCCCAAATATCTGTGCAAGCTATGCACTTTTCTCTAATCATGTATCACCTGTATTACTGCAAATAACCTCTTAGCAGGTCTCCCTGTCTCCAATTTTGTCCTCCTTCCAGTCCACTCTCCATACTGCAACTAAAATGAATAATGCCCCATTCTTCTCAGAACATTGTGAGCTCTTTAACATGGTTTGTAAGTCCTTTCATGACCCAGCCCTTACTCATCTCTCTAGGCTCATCTCATTATTCTTAATTCTGAAGTTTCCTCTTCATCAGTCCTATCCCCATTCTGTGTTTGAACCACACTCTATTTTCAGTCTATCAAACATGCCTCTGCTCTTTCCCATGACAGGGATGTTTCCTCAGCAACCTCACTCCTCCACTCCACACCCCCTCAGCTATCTGGATAATATTTATCCTCCAGGCTTTACATTCCACATCACCTGTTCATTATGGTATAACTGACTTAACAATCACAACTGAGTTACATGTCCCTCTGTGTACTATCATAATACTATTGCAAGATACTTTTATTCTGTGTTGTAATAGTCTATTTATTTGTCTGTCTCCCACACTGGATTGCAAGCTCCTTGAAGGCAATAATTATGTGTTGTTCACATTTTGGTACCCACCCCTAGCACAGTGCCTGACATTTGGTAAGTATTCAATAAATATTTTGTGGATGAATGACAAGGAAGGGAGATGGAAAACAATATGTGAGATAATAGATCATTATTTTTCTTTATCCCTTTCTGTATTTTTCAAGTATTCTGTGTTGACATTTATTGCTTTTATGATCAGGAAATAATATATTAGAATTAATTTTAAAAGTATATTAAGATATCTATAATCTCAGCACAGAGGAAGCTGAGAGGCAGGAGGATTGTGAGTTCAAGGCCAACCTTGGCTATGCTGCAAGACCCTGTCTACAAAAAATATATTAAGCATACTCAAAATAGAAAAAGAGAAAAAAAATGAAGAAATTAAAATCTCTCATAATCCTACAACCTAAGGATTACTTATTAACATTCTTCCATCCTTTTCAATATTTTTTATGAATACATAGTTTAAACATTGAGACCATATTATGTTCTGTTTTGAATTCTGCTTTTTTCAGTAACATCGAAAGTAACTTCCATTATATCAAGAAGCTGTTGTTTATTTAGCTATTCCTTTGCTGTTCAACATTAAGATTTTATCTCATTTTTCACTATTATAAATAAAGCTGTGAATAGTATCATTGAACAGAAATGTCTACCCTTATTTATAATCATTTTTGTAGTATAGAATCCTAAAAGCAAAATTACTATTATCAACTTTAAAGACTCAATATACATGGCTAAATTGTTTTCCAGAATGTTTATACTATTAATAGCTACTTGAGAACTTACTATATTCTATTCTGTTTGGTAGATTTTATTATGCCTATTTTACAGATGAGAAAACTAAGTTCCATTGAAGTTATTTGCCAAGAATCACTGAGATAGGGGGAAGGAGGGAGAAATGACCCAAACATTGTATGCACTTATGAATAAAAGAAAAAAGAAAGAAAGAGTTTCCTTGGAGACAATGCTGAGTAAACCAACCAACACTCCTAAGCTTTTATTTGGGTATTTTTCAAATGTTTTAGAAAATTACTATTGAAGTCTATACAGTCTTCCTTATGAGAGCAGAAATACTGGCCAGCTCTCAAATAATTTATGATAGCCAAAATGAGGGGCATTCATTCATTCACTCACTCACTTATTCATGTTAATCCAGGAACTCTAAGAGAAAACAGTATGCAAAGCAGTTGAAAATAAGCTAATGTCAATGGATAAGAGAAGAAACCAAACCATTCTGAAGGCCTCCAATACTTTGTCAGTGGATGCTAATGACAGATGCATGAATGCCAATCTTCTAATGAAATGAATTACAAGTCATACTGTGAATTTTTTTCCTAATTGGTTTAAGAGAAAGAGGAATGGGACATTGAACCAAAAGACTTGATATGACATCCCTGTATTACTACTTAGTACCAACATGACTTTGACTCAACCAATTTACCCTCTGTTAGTTTCTGCATCTGTAACATGAGGTTGTTGTTGCCTATTTTAGGTAATTCCTTGCACTCAGCTGGCTCTCATTGGTATTATTTTACTGTAAATTTAGGGAGAAATAGTATCAACTTATAATTCTATGGTTTCTGATTAAACCTTACAACCTCCCAAAAGCCAGACAGAACATTGTTTCTATTTATCCTCATTAGGAAAGAAATCAAGTGTCAAAGACATATCTTGTGCAATGTCATGTGCAGGAAGTATGGTGAATAGCGGAGTCTAGATTTGAACCCATATCTCCTAAGATAAACCAAAAACATTGCTGCACTTCTGTTTCCTAGATAAATTTCCATACCCTGCTACTTCAAGATTTTATAAATCAAATCTAAATTATTTGCCTAATACTCTATTTTTGTCCATTGAAAGCAAGTGACATGTTCCACACTTTGATGCGGAGCTATTTTCTATAGCTATAGACATTATTGTAGTGACTTTCATTAACAATGGGATAAATAGTCACATTTATTCTCAAGATAAACCAAAGTCATTCAAATACAAACTTCTGAGTAGAAAAAAAAGGAATCACTGAGATAGCAAGTGGCAAAGGTAGAATTCGAGTTCAGAATTGCTGGATTTCAAAGCTCATGTTTATTTTCATGTAGACTTCAAAAATAAATACTTTTAACTATCAGATTATTATATGTTTACTTAAGAAAATACAAATAGAAAGTAACAAAAATGAAAATAGATTACTTGTGAGCCCACTACTTTCAACAGTTTAGTCAATTTCTTGTCTTTTGTTCCACATACAACTTTTGGGTTGTATCCTGCCCTTTTCACTTAATATTTGCAATATTTCCATATTCTTCATAGCCATAATTCAAACAGTTATATATTATTGTCAAATGGCTGTTACCATGTGAATATTTGCAGTTGATCAGCTCACCTGTGAATTTCTTCTTTTCATTTCCAGAACCCACCATTTCCCATGAGGCTTACAGAGTTCAATGTTTGAAACCATTCTAATCCTCAAAATAAGACACCAAGTTGGACTGAAAGCTTCACAATTTGAAAGTGTTCCATCAAATATGTGCTGTGCAGATGTTTCAGGACTTTACAAATTATTTAATTTACTGACTGAACTCCACTTTGGTAACAATTACTTCAAGTCAGTTTTTCTTTCTTTCTTATCCTACCCAAATCATGAAAGCCTAAATGTAAAATATATATCTTTATATTCATCTTGTCAGGTAAAAAAAGGAACTCATAAGACTACCTTAGAGTCTTTAATTCCCCCAGAAATCATATAGTCATATATACAGGGTCTTTTTGGTAATGAGGGGAATCGGCATACATTCACTGCTTATATGCATGTGCATTCATAAACATGTATGTTTGCAGCATATCTATATAAAATTCTGCTGTAATGTCATGAAAATCAAGATTTTAAAAACCGAGGCTTTTATTTAATCATGCTGTTTCCCTAAATAGATATTTAAATATTTGATGAGCTTTGAAACATCCCTATATCAGGTATCTAAAATTTGAGAGATAAAGTCAATTCACTGTGACCAAGATCCTCAAATTGAGAGTTGAACAACAATGTAAAACCTGTTCTCTATCACAAAGGTTCCTGAAAGCACCACAGCCAACAGAGAAGACCAGATCAGATCAGATCAGATTTCTACTTTATTAATCATAACAATTAATGTCTTAAAGACTTCTAATGCCAGGCTATGGTAAAATTCTCCAATTATTGTTATTAATTTCTCTGCTATCTAGCTTTTCATAAATTATGTTTATGATGAAAGAGATGCCATAAGCCTAAGTTATGGACCATCAGTTTTGTAAAGGGTTTTTAAAATTATTTTCAGGTTTAATTATAATATTCTTCAAAAGGTAAAGTTTCATAACTGACATTAGCTATGGATCTGTGTTTTCATAGCAGGGGTTAATGTACAGCTAGTGAAAACTGAACAGTAATATGCCAGCACCACCACCCCCGCCTTTTTTTTAAGCTTCAGTGGTATCTCAGCCATTAAGATAGTTTACATCCATTTCCCCATTTATTTATAATCAACCTTTCTTTCAGTCCTAGTGCCTGAATCAATGAATATGGACACTAATGCTGCTTCTTTATAATAATAATAATACCTAAGAGTATTGATGTTTTTCATTTTTCAACCAGGGCAGCTGCTGACAATAAAAGCCCCAACTCTTACAGAGATCAGTGGGAGTTAGAGTGATCTTACAGATATCAAGGAATTGAGCTGCTAGAGGGATGGTTAGGTTTACTAAATTATCCTTCCTAAAATCCCTTTGGGCAAAAATGAGTTGCCTGCCACAAATAAAACAGTATCGGGGGTCTAGTACAATCAAGAAGGTGAGCAATCTAGCTACTTAAAGCAACAACAAAACCTATTCATTTGGACCCCCTAGGTAATTTTGACCACGTGAGACATTTAACATAAAGTAAATATATTGTCATAAACATGTCATTTGAGAGAACACTGGACATGACTAAATCTATTAGGGCCCAGGGACAGGGGCTGTTCCTCAAACTCAGAAGTTAAGGAACAGCCTAGAAGACTATGCACAGTGGATTTCATGATGAAATCTTATATGTTCAGATGGGAAGATTTTTCCCTTTCTGCTCTCCTAAAACACTTCTCTTGGTTAGGTTTCCCTTGAAAGTGTATTTGGCCATCCACATGGTTTTATGATGGACAATTTTTGCCTTCTATTCCTATACAAATGCATCTTTCTCTAAATAGGGGAGTCATTACTTATTCCACAGTCAGTAGGCATCAAAGCAATCTTTCCCCTTTCCTCTCTATCATTTCCCAAGAGTTTAGGAAGAGCAGCTGCTATGTATGATTCAAAGTCAGGAAGACATCAAGAACTTCTCTGATGCAATAAAGTGCATCAGCATTTAGCTCTCATAGAAATCAGGTCACAAAAGACAGTGTCAGTAAGCGACAGGGAAGCACTATAAGGATAACGCTCAGGGGAGCTATAATGGAATGCTGATTGTTTAGTGTTTTATAAACTTGCACTGTCTTCAAAAGGCCAAATAAATCAGGGTTTTACCTGGGAGCTTGGAGAAAAAAGAAACCCTATTCCTATCTTAGTACCTTGATCCCACTAGTTTGTAAACTCTGATAGTATCCCTATCCATACATCATTCGAGTATTTACTACTGTACATAACCAGCATCTAACTGGTTGCTTCTCAATCAAGAAGACAGAGAGGTTTTCACACCTTGACCTGGCTTTTTTGCTTTCTTGTCCTTGGAGCCCTGCCCGATAAGCTATATGGGATCTCATTCCCCAATTATTAGTACTCTTCTTCCCCACCTGCAAAATGAAGATACTTATTGTCAAGGTCCTAAAGCTGAAAGGTGCTACGTAACTCCTTAGTGCTCTTATATGTCTTTAATTGCCGGACTGGAATGAAAAGTTTAACCAGAACAGTATTTCTAAGCAAAGTAATAATGCTCCCTCCATTCCTTCTTCCATACCCTCATTGCTGATTTGTTTTCTTGTAGAATTCATAGTACTTTGTTAAATGTTCTTCCATTTGTTCCAATGATGTTTTGGAAAGAGAAATTATTTTTCCCTTGATACAACTGGAAAAATAAGGATAAAAGAGACAATGTGCCCTACAAAAGTATAGAGATGTATTCACAGTTACTGCATGCAGTAAACTGAGCAACTTGGCTTCCTAGTACTGGAATTACCATGAAGCAGTTTAGAACACCGAGAGCAATTAGGACATGATCATATTTCAAAAGAGTCTTGCATTGTTCAAAGTCTTGAACAATTTATACAATTGTATAAATGTATGCAATTTATACAACTCTTATTTTATAATGCAGCATGTCCTCCATTGGCCCCATGTGACACATACATTTCACATGATATGGCATCAGCCAGTGCCATAATCTCCTGCAGCACTGATAGAGTCCAATCTCAGAGCTGTTTTTGCAAGGAAAAAGAATATGCTTCCCCATGTTTATGCTAAATTGCACAAAGGATAGGCATTGAGGTTAAGAGAGATTAAAGCACAATTCTAGCAGATATGTTTTAAGAATGTTGAGGATATGCTGTTGTAATGTGCATCTGAAATTTAATAAGGCCTCAACTCAAAGAATGTAACAATCTTATTCCTTTCACGTCTCATCACACATATCTACACACACACGTGCATATGCACATGGACACCTCCCCCCCCCACACACACAAACATGTCTCCCAAAGTAGGCTGCTAGGTCATCAGAACAAATATTTTAAAGGAATGATTCTCCTCTCCTTTAAAAAAAAAGTCCAACAATCACAGCAAGCAAAGAACATCCATCTATACTTTCTAAAATCTCTGCTGTCAGAGTGGCTAAGAAACTTAGTTGGTTCAAAAGACATGTTCCGTGCAGAAGCACAGAGGTCATCTAACAAGATCATCAGACCCTTCCACAAGTCCTGTGTTCTGAGTATTCATGAGTTCCATCCAATCAGTAGGAAAAGGTTGACAATGTATGGTACATCTGCATTTCTTTAATCATAGCTGTAATGTATCATATTATATTGTAGCCTTTTGCATGTGGGTGTTATATAGTATAATAATGAATGGGTGGCTCCTAATAGCATGTAACCCGTGACTTGTTTACTTCCCCAAAAAGGGCTAGGGCTGTGTCGTGCGCAGTGTTCAAAATCATTAAATGTTCTGGAGAGCAGCTTGGTACACAGCTATCAGCAGAATGAGTTAAAACAGACAATGAATTCAATATATCAGGAAATAGATTCTTAGTAGGGAGTGGTGTTAAATGAAAAAGAAAAACAGTAAGATATGATGCATTCAAGAAATAATTACTTTCACCCTGCTGGCTAAATCAGCAAAGGAACGCAGCGGGAAAGCTGGGACTGGGTCTTGGTAATATATGAAATGTATTGGAGAGCCAGAAAAAGAAAGGCACTGGGGACCTCAGGAGTTAAGCTCAAGTTGCCAATTTGCTACAAATCCTTTTTTTCCATCAATGTGCTCAAAGTGATTGTATATAGTATTCTTAAAACCATGTGTTTTGCTGCAGAAATACTGAAAAATGCTGGCCAGCTTTATCTTCCTATGTCCTTTATTAAAAGTATATGCATAAAACTAATTGTTGTTTCTTTTCTGTATTATGATTTTCTTAAACAATGTTGGCAAAGTCTAAAGTTTAGACCACTCCTAAGAAAGTTTTGGTATATCACATTTCATGGGGCAGAATAGTTTATTCACTCCCAGGTTGATTGGTATGTAGACTTTTCTGTAATATCTCATCTTCTGAACACCCACACCACACACACACACACATGTTCAGTATTTCTCTTATGTTCCTCCATGAATATAAGAGGGGAATTTGACAGCAATGGCTATTTGACCAGTCTAATGGCAATGAATCATGTTCAGCCTCTGCTCAGCCTCACATGTCTTTTGTCTTTCACTTTGCCATTGTGATAAGTGAAGAAGAAATTTGTTTTATGTGTCTCAAGGTGATATGAAATCTGGTTTGCTTTCTCTTATGCTGAAAACTGTTTATTAGTCTCCAAAAGCATGTCACTGAAAAAACAATACAGTTGGTCCTGAGAAAAGAACATAGTAACCCACTTTCTCATAAATCTTACATCACCCTTAGAGAAATATATTTGAAGAGACCCTCATTAAGTAAGCCCCAAATATGGTTTTCTTCAACAGATGCATCATTTGCACAAAAAGATCCTTTACAGAAAAATGGAAACAACCCCTTCCTTCCCCACCCCTCCCTTAGCCAACCAAGAAGGCAGAAATCATTGGATATGCAAGAGCATTCAAAGCTGGAGATTAGAACAGCCATTGGTGACCATCTGACTAAATAATAATGGAGAGAGAACTTGAATCACTTGGGAGAGGCCCAACTTATAGGGGTCAGATAACACAAAACCAGAAAGAAGTATTTCGTTCCAGGTAAGCTTATCAAACAGACCTCAAATATCTCTGCAAAACATCCTATTTCACTTATTCCAGTGCATCATCTTGAAACAGCTTAAATTTGCATCACAATCCTATACTAGAAAAAAAGGATAACTATTTTCTTTCTAGATAAAAGAAGCCTTTATACAAGAATCTTGAGTTAAGGTTACGAAAGTAAATTTAAGGCATATAAATGTAAAAGGAAACTTTATAGATATAAGTATAAATAAAGATAAATAAAATGCTTTAAATAGGAACATGTAAACATATTGAATGCATTTTCTTCATGTGATAAGCAACAGAATTTTTAAAATCTATTTTCTTACTATATTCAGTGACACTGAAAAAATAGCCAGTTTCTCTTTGAATATTAAAATACTCATGTAGCATGTTTCAGTGTTTAGACTACCAACTCTAGAGGCATTGAAATTTTGGGATAGAAAAAGTATGTTTTAAGCAAACTTTTAAAGAAAATATTTGAATATGTTTATAGTTTTGAAAGAAATTTTCCTCACAAATCTTAAAGTCCTCAACTCAATTTTATAAATTAGCACAGTATCAGACTCAGATTGTGACAATGTTGGCAAACTCTAAAATAAGTCAAACTATAGCAGATAAGAATTTCAATGAAAATAAAATAATTCATTGTGGAAGGAAAGCAAAAGTTTTGCTGTTGGAATATTCATGAGTATAAGTGACCAATTCGTCAAAAATGTCA